AAATTGTTATCTGCAACAAAAGACTATCTATATACTTTTCCAGGTTCCCCTTATTTCCTTAACCAAACTTATAAAATGGGAAACTAAAGCAGTTTAGGCGCAATAGTGTAACAAACGGACATATTTACTTTCACACTAACGATATTGTAAAGATATTAAGAATTTATATCTATGTCATATTATAAAAACTTTTCATGACCTGTTTTTTCCATTATCAAGTAGAAGAGAACGCTTGATATAACCGAAGCTTTTTATAACCTTCAAATTTCTCGCTAGTCACAATTGATTCTTAGAGGTTTATTCCAAAACCCTTTAATGTTTCTCAGAAATTCGTACAATATTTACTTTACGAAAACAGGTTTCTCTATAAATCAACCGGGATTTAAGAATAAAAGCACAAGGCGTCAGGCAGGCAGGCAATTCGCAAGAGAACAAGTAAATTTATTCATCGTATAAAAAAGCACCACTTACTCCTTATAAAGACTTTATTCCACCATCTTCGGATTACCTTCATAAAGGGGTAAAGTATAACACCGATATTGTATAGCTGAATAAAGCTGAAAAACGCGATAAAGCTTAATGTAAACACACTAAGCGTATTTAGCTATTAATTAATTTTGTATTCAGGTTTTATTACAATTTATCTGAAAATCCATACCAATATAAATTCAAAATTACTTTATTTATGTTTAAAGCATTTAACTGCTAGATATGTAATTTTAGAGGAGCTCGATGGCGCAAGTGGTTAACGCGTTCGGCTGCGATCGTTGAAGTTAAGTAACTTTCACAGTGGTCGGTCACTGGATGGGTGACCAAACATTTACTATCTTGAGTTCCTCCGTGCTTCGGAAGGCATGTTAAGCCGTTGGTCCCGGCTGTATCTGCAGTCGTCAGCACCCGCCAAGCCGCACTGGCCCCGCGTGGTGGGTCATGGCCCAATCTCCGTATTCCATCCATAGGGAAGGCCTGTGTCCCAGCAGTGGGGACAATAATAGGATGATGATGACGATGATGTAAATTAAAAAAAAAACTACAAAAAAAAGGTGCTACCTTGCAGCCTAACAAATATTAGTGGAAATTTGACACTGCCATTAAGGTCTCAGTAGCATAATTACTCCAGACAGCGGAAGATGCGGCTTCGAATCCCGTTTGAAACCTAGAGGCCTACTCTATTTCAACGAAAAACGAAATAACGATCGAAATTTCACACGTTCCTTACTCTGTTTCTATTTCATTTCGAAAATTCGTTCGTCCGAAATATTTTGTCATTTAAATTCTCTAAGCCTACTCTAATTCACAAAACTTTTGAACTAAAAGTTAAATTTGACAGATATTTGTTCGAAATTTTAACCTCAAATTGACGAAATGAAAAGTGTTACCTTTTCATTTTCGTTTTGGGATTTTTGTTTAAATTAAACCTAAAATTACTACTAAGTATATAGTATTTTTAATTAAGGCTGCTTAGCGTGAGCAACATTTTTTAGTATGAAAGATTTACAAATAAATCAAATTTTTGATTATTATTGTATTGCCAATACTTCAAAGTGTTACACGACCAATTTAGGTTGACATACATTCGATTGCATCAACTCTACAAATTAGTCAGCTAACACTGTCAAAAGAGGTTGTTTTAATTTTATCAAAAATGTTGTCATAAAGTAATATTGTTTTGAAGTAAAAAACTTTATCTAAAAAGTAGACGAAAAGAACTCATAAACATAACTCATTCCATTCGTTCACGATAATTGCCTGTGTTTCCAAACTTTATGTGCGTGTTCGAAGATGAAATAGAGTAGAGTCACTGACGAAATTTCGTTTAAAATTCGTTTGTTGCCGAAATTTCGTTTCGGAGAAAGAGAGTAGAGCTCCTGGGCCGAAAAGATTTTTCGTATTTCTTTAGATAAATTCTAAATTTTTTGAATACTAACATAAATTCGAAATTGTTACTCCTTGTTTTTTACACTTTCACGCTTAAGTGACAGAATCGATTATGTTTTTTTTTACGGAGATAAAGGAGCCCCTGAGCAATAGTATAAGCAAACTATAATTGTGAAAATACAGTTAAAACGGGTAAAAAATGCAATAAAAATTATTATGGGCAATTGATTATCTAACATAGACGCATTTGTAATCTATTAATGCTAATTTCACAAAAAAAAAACTCTTAATAAAATATACTAACTAAAATTTTAAGTGAATGAATGATTCATATTAACAACTGTACCCCTAGCATGAACCATTATCGAATTCGAATAGTTTGCGAGTGCTAAATGTTAATGTCAAATTTTGAATGGAAACTTGAACAGCAGCGCCACATAGTACGTAACGAGAACTAAAAATCAGTACACATTTGACAATGACATTTCGGACTCGCAAACATTACGAATGCGATATTGGTTCATGCTAAGGTTACTGGACTCAGTCAGCTCTGCAATTGGGTAAGACAACATCTGTCAAGATCACAAGTAATTCTTTGTTATCCTCTTTAAAATAAAAATAGAACTTCGTGTCTGTACTGAAACATTGGTAGGGGAACTAAGCAAATGAAAGTTGTAAGTCTCGCCACAAGATAAGGCGAAAGTACAAACTTTCCTTGTAAGCCTTTCTCGACTGCGGCAAGCTCTTTCCAAGTGAATATTGGTTAGATTAACAACATGATAGGGAGTGCCGGATATCGATACAAACAGAAGTGGTGCCTTTTTTTTTTACTATGAAAAAAGGGTTGTTTATTAAGGTGTACTTTTTGGGGATTTTAAAAGCTATTAATTTTATAAATGTGAAAGTTTGTATATTTGTTACTTAGTTACGCAAAAACTACTGAACGGATTTAAATTAAATTTGAAACAAATATACTTGCCCCTCTGGCATGAGCACCGCGATATGATATAAAGCTCGTTTTTATCATGCTAAATTGTCAAAAATATGAGTTTTGATGTGAAATATCTATAGGTGCAAGTAAAACCGACTTCTGGCGTGGGCACGCTTTATGATATGATATTATACTAGCTGACTCGGCGAACTTCGTACCGCCCAAAAGTATTAATTTGCAATAAATTAAAATTGCGACTATAATTTGAGATTTAAACTATCCTATCTCTCAAGTTGGATCGAACTGCACATGGTGTGCGAATTTTATTATAATCGGTTCAGTGGTTTAGGAGTCCATTGAGGACAAACATTGTGACACGAGATTTATATATATTAAGATATGCAGTTACTGTGTACGGTGTGGCGACGCATCGCCATGCGCAAACGAATTCTATTTCTGTATTTAATGAAAATAAATGTTAATTAAATAAACAATCATCATTTTCTGGAAAAAAAATCGTAATATTTTATTTTATCGTTATGCCATAATTAGTTCCTATCGCAATCTTTTCTTTTCTGCATATTACTTTTACAAAATCATGTCGATGTTTCACATCTGCCAGGCGTCCCGAGATGGTTTACATTTTTTTTCAGTAAGACAAGATAAAAACGAGATAAAATGTAAAGCGTGGTGCTCATTTTACGGGGACAGGATTAATTTCATATAGAATACTTTTTATCCCGGGAAAACGCAAGTTTTCTGTGAGATTCTCAAAAACTAAGGTGAGTGCGGACGAAGTCGCGGGGGCAAGCTAGTGTAAATAAAATAACATTACCTTTTGGTGTTGTGGTGTTTCTGTCGGTGAGAAAAATACAAGGGATCCACGGGGTAGGGGATGAAGACAGGGTAAATAACGGTGCACGTAATAGGTAGTTTTGTTTTTTTGCTGCTGGTCGCAGATGCACTTTACAGCGTCACCGGGTTTGGGGCGAGGTCCTAAGGGGGACCTCAAGCCAAGAATTGGTGAATGCCTCTAGAGGTATTCCAGGCGGATGGTATCTCCCCACGGGGGGAGTCTCCTCTCCGCCTGGAGCCTCTAGACCACTTGAACTTGAGGGGGGAGTAGTTTTGTTAGCGCAAGCGTTTATAGGCTATGGCGGCTGTTTACCCTAAGGCGGGCGGGGCATTCGCTTCTTTACCCGATGTTTACAAAAATATTAGAAAATCGTTCAGTATTTTAATTTTTAGCAACTACAAGGAACTGCAAATATGCAAACCCTCAATCAAAAAATTTAATGTTTTCCCGTTTTTTTTTCCTAATTCTAAATACTAGTTCATTAAAATATGCAAAAGGAATTTAAGAGCATATAGATAAATTCATATTTGCATATTTATTTATCTGTAGTTGCTGTCTAAAACTGACTGGGTTTCTAGGCATTCGAATATGTTGTTATTTAGTCTAGATGTATAGATTTATTTATTTACTCTTTTTTGTTTTACAACAAATGGCGGACTTCAACCATCGAGCTAAGCAGAGACATTATGCGGTATAATAAATAAAAGCATAAAAGTAAAAAAAATATGATAAAACTATAGATTCTACCACACAAGATTATTTGATCTTTCCTCTCAGTGCCTACACTTACCTGAAAAGGTTCATATTTATCTATGTACTATTATAGTTGTTTACCGGGTTGGGACTGACCTGTGTATAAGGTTCTTCTCATTATATAGGTCCCTTTTACTATTTAGTTTGCTCTCAGAAAATTCGATTCTGTGGCGCAGCGATCAATGAAAGTGTAACAAAGGCTTGTAACTACAGGTTTAATTACACAAATTATCTCGATTACATCTATGGTGCTCTGTCCAAGTCTGTATATAAATTTATAATGTATGCAGCACAAAATTTTTTCACACGACTACGAGTGACAGGAAAAAACCCCTTATGAATATTCAGAATGCATTCACACAGACATTTTGGGATCACATAATTCAAAATTCTTTAAACATCGCGAGATATTAGGTGTTCTATTATTTTCCAAATGTTCCTCTTTTTTTCATTGACAAGAAAAAAGTTTCTATCTCGCTAACCAAATTTGCCATTTAATTTCCATTACAGTATAAAAAAAAATACCCGGCATAAAAAGGTTTTCCTTTTTAAAGCAATAAAGGCGACCACAAGGCAACTTACCCAACAAGCCGAGGAGCAAATACGTGCGCAGCTTCATCTTCTCAAGTTTCCTGCAAAGAAAAACACTCTTTAATTTGGTCCGCTTTCAAACTTCGACCCGGTCACGTTTAGGAAGATTTAAGTTACTACCGATATTCATACCACGGTTTGAGTGGAAGTTATTAAGTATAAAGAGCTTAATCCACGAGGAACGTTGTGCCCTGACCTATTTGTAGATCCGTAGTTCGTTTGCTTCTATGATCATTCTTTTTGATCTTTAATTGGATATACTTAATGGCGAATCGTCAAAGACAACGCAGGTAGCAATCAGCTTTGTAAAGAAAAATCCCCTAATGATAGCTGTAGCCAACAAAAATCGCTTAATAAGGTAACCATACAACCCGCATTATATTATCACAAATGCTAATTTAACGTTACAATTTATAGACAAAATATTAATAATGTTATTTTTTCAAGGCAGTTTATGAGTTCGCAATACGGCTTTCGGTTCTTAACAAAACTGTTTTTGATTAGAACTTGGCCTTATAAGGGCATGTCTGTCTTGCTCTTCATCTTCTCATAGTTACACAACGCAATGTTGAAAACTTATTCAATTTCGAACCAATGTTCTTGAAGTTACATAACAAAAGACTAGAAAAACAAACCGAGTCCAACCAACTTTGATAGGATCAAAGTAATTTGCGTTTGAGCCGAAACTTTTTTATGGGGTTGAACAGTAGACTTTGACAAAGGAATAGCAAAATATCGGGAAAGCCTTTACATAGCTATCATGCCTTGCTATCTTTTTTTCTTCTAGAGAGTTATTTGTCATTTGTGTTTTTCGTGACACACAACACAAGGTCGCGTTCACAACACCTAAACATTTTAATAAAGAAAGCACTTGGAGTACAATGCGGCATCTTAAACTGTGAATAATATCACAATATTGTGATAATTTCGACAGTGTATTATCACCGGTACAACTTGTGATACTGCGATCCTAGTATCACGATAATATTGATCAGTGAGTGCGAGTTCACACACTGATACAATACAGTATTCCGGATCCAGTAATAAATACAGATATGACAATGTATGCAGTACTCTGTTTTACTAGTTTTACTGGTCTATTTAAATGTATACGTTAATGGCGTATGTAGTTGTATATAAAATTATATATTTAATCATACGCCATCGCTGAAAAAAAAACATATCCAATAAAACGGACTGAGACTATGTATCACAGTCACGATACCAAGGAGTAAACATAATAGTAAATTGATATATAACAACGTATATTTTTAATGTTAAATTTAATTCGTTTTCGTTTGGTTTCTTTTAAATAAATTATATATTCGAATTATATAATAAAGAAAATAGCTTTACCAATAAAATAATTTGAAAGGCGAGCATACTTCACTTGGCGTCGCGTCGTCATTTCTAAAGTCTTTCTTGATAGGGTCATATAGCTATCAAACGAACTAATCAAGATCTGGTATAAAGCCTTTTTTAATTTCTCAACAAAGTAACAGTATAGGCGGTAATATATTCTTCGACCGGTAATAATTCGACGACCTCCGTGGCCGAGTGGTTTGTACGCCGGGTTTCATGGTGTCGCCGACTCGAGAGGTCCCGGGTTCGAATCCCGGTGGGGGCAGATGTTTGTGTGATGAATACGAGCATTTGTACTCCAGTCATGGATGTTTAATATGTATTTCTATATAAATATATATGTACTGTATATGTATTCTATCCGTTACCCTAGTATCCCATAACACAAGCCTTACAGTGCTTACTTTGGGGCTAGGCTAATTGGTGTGAGTGTTGAAAATGTTTATTTATTTATTTATTATTTATATCACAAAAGCTAGTGTCGTTTATTTTAAAGCTAGTGAATGCCCGTGTCCTTTACATATAGTAAATAGGAAGATGATATCACCTTCCTATTTAAAAAAAAATGGGTAGTAACTTAAAGACAAAGTCCATGAGGGGACTAAAAATTTAAAAAGAGAATGTTATTTCGATTTACGGTATCGAGTTCATTGAGCAGCAGGTGTGTTCGATCGGCTCTAGTTTTCAGGAGTAAATCTACCACCGAATGACTACTGTGTGATAGATTCAATGGCATGATGTATTTATATGGAAGACTAAACAGAGCAAGCTCTCAATTTCGTTTAGACGCAGGCATGAACGCAGGTGCCTTCTGTAATTTAGTACAATTGTTAAATTAATTTAGTACACTTCCTAAAATAAGTTAACAATTATTGACAAAAAATTGTGTAGATTAATAACACTCGTATGTTTACCATTTCAGAAGAATTTAGTAAAGCTGCAAAAAGCTCATTCTTATAAGAATCAATTGAAATATAAGGTACTAGCCCTACAATAGTATACGAAACCCGTCATCTCCGTCAATTAAATTATATATTCTACAATATCATATTAGACGTTAAGCTTTCCATGTTTTTCTTTCGCACTCTTTGTATAAATAACTACTACAGGATGTGGAATTCCGTTTTACTTAGATTTACTATCAAACACATTTGCGTTGTTTCATACATTTCTTTTTTCCTATAACCACGTTTCCGTTATGCGAATATTCAGCCGTGAAAGGGGTTGGATTAATAGTGTAACATTTCTCACTTCAGTGGCACGTGCTGCGAGCGGCGCGCAGCGGATATAGCAACCTCTGGATTTATTCTTTTAGCTAACAACTTTACCGATACCTCTCCGCAGACAATGTTGATAGAGTACTCCGTACAGATATGAATGATTAACGGATGTCATTAAATAAGTTTTCTGGAGTGTGATGTGCCTATGAGTTTTCATAAATACAATTTATTGACTAAAGCCAGCAATCATGCAAATAACTTCATCCAACCAAATGTTTTATAGTGGTATCGATTCTGGCATGATTCTCTAAACTAATACAACAGTGTATCCTTGTCATTAAACATAATTAAATGTTGAGTCTGATGTTAAATTTAATTTTAAGTTTAGAGAATCATGCCAGTATCGAAACCAATACCTACAACAGCTCAATAAAAAATACGAGCTGTGACTTTAAAACCTCCAGTGCTAGATATTTTGCTGTAGTGTAAATAAGTGGATAAATATTATTTAATATCTGCATTAAAGCTCATTATTTTCGTATATCGTTTCATCGTTTTAATGATCGATTATCGTGAACTTAACTTTACAATCATAATACTTTTAAGACTATTGGCGCGCATAGATGACGCGACACATTTTGTGCCACAATTTGGTTTCGGGTCAAACTTAATAAATCCAGCGTTTAAACTGTTGTCTAACGTGATATATCCCGAGAGAGGAGATAAAAATATAAATGTAACAATTTCAAGAACTTTTCTCAACGTCTGCCAACAGCCGGAACACTGTTTTCTTTGACAGTTTGTACTCTGGAGACCGTTACCTACTCCCATTTTTTAACAAAACATCGATGCACTCCCAGCTACTTCGCTTATGAGGATTTATGAGGCTACCACTACTTTGTTTGGGATTTATTTATAGTTCTTAGGAGAGATGAAGTCATTTATTCTAGTTTGATTTCGTAGAAGGATTCACAAAAAACAGCACTAACATTTTCTACGCGGAAACTGAATTTAAGACAGTTTAAAATGACAACAGATATAAGGCGACAGTTTCGTCAAAAAACAGTGTAATTAAATGTGTTTTTGTTTTAATTAGTGATATGACCTCAGTCTTAGCACTTTTCTCAGACCTCGAGGTGACTGAGCCAAGGAAATTTTTGCTGTACCTAGTTGCCGAAATGATTTCTGAAATGATCCGTTTTACTACATGATCGATTCGCTTTTGCATAGATTTGCTAGTTATTTTGGGAATATTATACATTAATGCTCGTCGTGTGGCCTGTGAGATAATCTCCACGTTAATCGCATACTAATTACTCATTAAACATTAAGCATATGCAAACAATTTTATCAATATTTAGTTCTGATTTAGCATTTGTGCTTTTAACACAATTTACGTAAATATATAAATATAAGAACTAGCAAGCTTAACTTAAATATGATTTTTTCGCAACCTGTACTAAACTGTAACCAAAAATGTTAGTGTTAAAAAAAACTTACGAAGGTTATCGTGTACTGTATCGAAAGTGTAGTAGGCGATAGATTAGCTATGCTTTCTCAGAAGTATGACTATAACAAGGTTATAATTTAAGTCGTTGAATTGCTAACAATGGAATTAACTATAATAAAAACACTAAAAACAACACCATGTTTGTTGTAGTATAACATTATTCAAGTTTATATTTACAATTAGATAAGTAATTGAAAGGCATTTGAATATCGCGCTCTTTCTACCAACTTATGCATAACAGTCGAGCAGCCTAGTAAAGTTGCGAACTTGTGTTGGCTTCAAGCAGACTAAGTTATTGAAGCGTTAAACAGTGGCGACTTGCCTGAGAGTTTATTTCCTATAATCGGTTTACCATAATATAGACCATTAATAACCAACTTGTTCTTTAGCCTATGACTTGTTGTTGCCGATCTTTTCTGAGAAAGAAAAACCTTCTCGTTAGACAAGAACTTAATAGCATCCGACTGAAGATTAGGTTGCAAGCGGTTGTAATAAGAAAATAGGGCATAATGGATTTACCATTCGAATAAAATAGTTCATGCAATAACTAAACTGATAAATACTAGTGTTAATGAGTACCCTGATGAGTTAAAGAAAAGTGTGTTCCGTAAGATATATAAACAAGGTACTCCAAGTGATTTCTCGAATTATCGCCCTATCTCTGTTTTACCAGTATTAGTGTCGCCGCATACGGGCCACCGACCACAACCACAAAACGCCACCACCGGCATATTTCTTGTAGTTTTCATACATTTTATACGGATTCGCCACACACGTGGGTAAGGTCAATTTTTTTTACGGAAATAGGATATTATCCATAAAAATAAAAATTATGCTTCCAACAATTTATTAATAAACCTTGCCTAAAGAAATTCGAAACATTTTGCAAGATATAAATGCTAAACCTAAAATTAAAAACCATTTTAGTAGAAAACATAATATTTATTGA